TAACAAGCACTAACATTGATGAAATACATTCCACGTGCCAGGGACTGTGCTAGACTCTCAATCTGAACATCAGCCCTGTGAAGTGGGTACCATCATTGTCCCCATTTTACGGATGAGGAAACAGAGGCTTTGAGGTTAACTGCCCAGTCTTAGAGCTGAGACTGGCAGAGGTACAACTCATCCTAGATCTGTCTTATTCCCAAGCTCTTGACTAGATCAGGGACCAGAAGGACCCAGCATCAGGACTTCGTCTTCACAGAGGCAAGGCAATTCTGAATACAGCCCTATGGCTGGGACTCAGAATTGGCTTTTAGGGGACTAACATTTGATCCCTTTGAAGAGACAGGGGCTAAATGAGCTCTATCCATCAAAAACAAAAAGAGAAACAAAACGAAAACAAAAGCACAAAAACTTGGTTTTTTGTGGAACTCTGTAATAGTAATACAAAGGGAAGAAAAGACATCTTTATCACTCTGGGCAGAAGGCTCAATGAATTGAAGACTGTGCCTGCTACTGTCGTGTTGTCACTTGGTGAAAATGATGGTGTGGGACACTGTGTCCAGCAAGACCAGCCCTGAGAGACAGACACTGCCTGGAATGGAGGAGAATTATTTGGAGAGAAATTTGCAGGAATTTAAAAGTCTTGCATCTGCAGGTAGGGACGAGAGTTATAATTGCTCCTGTGACACCCTAACTCTCCCCACGTCTTGAGAAGGCTTGGAGAAACTCACGTATGTTTTCTTATACTTAAAAAATGTTTCTTCTATACTTTATTACAATGAAATTACCTCTGATGTTCTCCCACCTTAAATACTTAGTAGATGTAGTAGGTAATTTTTAGGAGTCAGTTGAATGACATTTAACATCAAGCAAAGGGCACAGAGTAAATAATCAAAAAGTGCCGTCTGTTGGGTTTATCCATTGCACTTTCCCTGGATGAGAGGCCTCCTGCCCACGCACTCACGCGTGTTGACTACTTGGCTTAATTCTCTTTGTCATTCCCTGTTCTAACATCACTTAGAGAATTGTGATCGTCGTTTTCCATGGAGATGAAAAGTCCCATTAGGGATGTCGGTGGGACTACATAGATGCTGGAGAATACAAGTACTTAATATCATGTTCAAGGATGGACTTCAAGGAGTCTGTATACCCTAAAATATTAGGCAAGATGGAATTTGTCCAAAAAATGGGTGCTTTTTCCTGGGGAGAGGGTCAAGAGCTCTCATCAGCTTTGAAAATGGTCCATACCCAAAGAGAAGGTTCAAAGTCATTGCCTGGGGCCTTTTACAGGTCTTTCACATCATGGGGTTCTCTAACATTGATCGACAGCAAATACACTGTTATTATTAATTATTATTAAAATAATCGACTTTAAAAACTGATATGAAATAGCTCAGTTTTAAATAAATGTTTTGATTTACACAGCCTTGACTGTGTAATTACAAGAATAGATAAGACATAGGCCTTGCCCTTGTAATCACCCTTGTAATGAAGGGTTCACCCTGGACACGGGTCAGACAGGCATTCATCCTTTCGTCCTTTAGACCTGCAGACTCAACGAAAAAGAATTAAGGGCTGGGTGAGAGGGCACTAGGCAACAATATGGGGGTCCCATGTTCTGAACTTGTCACGACCCGTCATAGCTTGGTGGCTTCGGATACTTAATCTGGCCCTCGGTTTCCTTACTTGAATAGTAAAAGTGTTAGGATGATATAATTTTAAAGTTCTTTTACATTATTAAAACTCGACAATTCAGGAGGACAGTTTTCAAACTTTTTAAACTTTAAACCCTGTTCTAGGTTTCTGAAAATCCTCTTGGACTGCTCCAAAGATCTGATTTAAATGTAAAGTCCTAGGAGGTCTATCCTGTCCCAGAATAATCACATGAGTCATTAACTTGACAGTGAAAAGGTAAGTAATACTCTTAAAAGAAGCTTTTGCCAAAAAGCTGTGTTTAGATTGAATTTGGGCCACCTACAGAGAATTCGTATTGATTTAAGTTAAATCTAAAATTAGGAGCCCCATGTCTTTCCTTTCTGACTGAATTTCTGATGGATAATCAATTAGCAGAAGCTCCTCATTTAGCATTTTGCATTTTTTTGCCTCCCCAGCCTGCTACACATCTGATGAAAGAAAACACTTACTGATTATTGGGATTACATGATGTCCTAGAAAAAGCAAAATTAACCTATGGTGGAAAAATCAGAAGAGTGGGGGTTACCTTTGGGAGGAAGGGGAGGCTGGGGCTCAGCTGGGACACTTCGGGGTGATCTGGGTCATTCTGCGCATTTGTCGAAACTTAGTGGAGACCCACTCGTCTGTTTTTTTTTCCATTTCACTGAAAATTTAAATTTTACATTTAAAGTTTTTGAACACACAAAATGGAATCTTCTCTAGCCTTAAAAAATGACAGAAACCCTGTCACTTGCTACAATGGGTATGGATGAGCCTTGAGAACATTCTGCTAAGTGAAAAAAGCCAGTCACAAAAGGACAAATACTGTATAATTCTACTTACATGTGGTTTGAGTAATCAAAGTCATAGAGACAGAAAGCAGAAGCATGGCTGCCATGGGGGCCACAGGTGATGGGGAGATGTTTAATGGCACGGAGTTGCAGGTTTGCGAGATGAAATAGTTCTGGAGATGGGTTGCACAGTGTGACCGCACCCCACGCTACTGAACTGCGTACTTAAAAATGGTTACGATGATAAATTTTATGTAAGAGGGTTGTTGTTTTTTTTTTACCACAATAAAAAAAAGAAAAGAAAATATTTGAAGAAATAGCCAACTCAAGTAATGATATGCGTGATGAAGTATTTAGTTGGGGAGTGTACCGATGTCTGCAATTTAATTTGGAATGCTTCAAAGAAGTAACATGGTGAACCATACCTTCCCCAGAATGGCCAAAATTAGAAGAACTAATAATATCATGGATGCATGGTGAATTGATGTGATTTATCAAGTGCAAAGGTGGTAGAATATAGATCACAGTCAACTTCTTTCATCTTTGCTATGTACTTAAAAATTTCCAAAATAAAATATTAGGGAAAATTTTTTTTAAATTACTGGGGAACAAGTTGGCAATTTACATGAAGAACTCCTTGACCTCTGTTTTCTAAGTTCACTGGTTTCTTTAATAATATACTTAATATACAAATTAAAACCACAATAATCCACAACCATACCTTCCCCAGAATGGCCAAAATTAGAAGAACTGATAATATCAAATATTGATGCGACTGTGGATCAAAAAGAACGTTCATGTATTGCTGGGCGGGGGGGTGGAATTGGTACCATGGTTTTGGAAAACTGGCAGTATCTTCTACAGACAGAAAGTAGAAAGCTGTTACACAACAATGTGAATGGATTTAACACAACTGAACTATACCTTAAAAAATGGCGAGGATAGTAAAGTTTGGGTATTTTACCACAATTTAAAAAAATATTTAAAGCAGCAATATTTATGTAATTCAAATTGTATCTCTGTACACAGATTTGGCTAGAAGCACCTCCCTTTGTCTTCCTTGCACCCAACCCCCTGGGGTTTGCTTTGCATAAAGGGGAACAAACCTTATAGTCTCCCTTCTTAAGCTGGTCTGGTGGGAAGACGCAGCTGGGCCTAAAAATGTGAACTGGAAATGAAAATGAAGCTTGCAACTGCTAACTCTCCACGCGTGCAGTGAGTGAGGGTGCACAGGGTGAGGGCTCAGCTGTTGGGGAGGGAGCCGGCAGGGACCCCATTGCTCACAGACAAGAAGACCTGGGGCGGTCGGGCAGGGGAAGAAGAGAAAAGAAGTAAAACTTCTCTATGTAGTAAGGTAGAGGGCAGAGGACCGTCCCCCCCCACCCCCATTTATGCTGCTTTAGGACGATGTTCTTCCTTGACACAGGTCCTCACTGTACTCATTCTGAACATTATTTATCATGTGAGTTGTGTCTGTGGGCTTCTGTCCAAGAGTTACCCTCAGGGGGCTGGAAGATTGCAGGGAAAGGGAGGGCCTGTGATTTCACAGCCCAAGGGGCCAGCCGTGGGCTGCCAATGCCTACCCTGGGCTCCTTGGCGACATGAGCCCTGTGCATGACCGTGCTCCACTGTGCTACTAGGGTAGAGGTACAGACGCCAGGGTGGGACCAGCCTGTGGACACTTCTACACAGCCTGCAGGATTCAAGAGGATGGCTAGATTTGAGAAACCCAAAGTTAGGCTAAAGCTAGTCCTGCCCATGAGATAACTCATAGTGTTTAACATCTCCCCCCCTTTGATTCTGGTTCTTCTATATTTCTCCTCGCTCAGTCATGACAAGAGGCCCCTAAAACACATGTTCCAGAGCCCCTCCCTTGGCAGCCAAATATTAAATAGGCTTCTTCCTTTCCTAAGCAGACATTATAGCAACTCCTGACTTGGGGCGCTCTGACCATGCTAAGTCATTTGCATTGTACAGAAAAGGCAAGTTGTGCTTTAAAAGTGCTTATACAAAAACTAAAAACTCATCACAAGCCTATGGCCTACCTTAGCTAGGTTTCCCAACCTTGTTTATCGCTTTGGCAAAAACAACTAAGCCTCCTGGTGCTTCAGTAGACACTGTGTTAGCTCCACTTCTCACTCGCTGCCCTCCTAAGATTTGCCAAATGTAATTGCTTCAAAACAATGCGTGGTAGTTTTTCGCATTTCCCCCCTTGATATTTTATCATCGTCTGCTTCCCACGTAAGTGTCAAGCACCGCTCCAACCCGAGGAATCCAACCCAAGAAAACCAATCCAACTCCCCCTCTTAATGAAAGTGAATCCCACGACCACTGAACAGCTCTTCAGACTCGCAGCATTTCCTGTCCTGACCGACATTCCCTTGGCCAACGCTGATACATTATATTTTCAGGGTTCCCATCTTAAAAATAATCAGAGTACATTCTGTGATGTATAAGTGGTGACTTCAGGACTGTCGGCCTCTTATTGAGAGCATGCCACCTTTTTAAAAGATTTAAGAACTCAAAACCACTCACCGATAGTGGATCTGCCTTTGCGTCAGTCAAAATTTTGGCACGCAATGAAAGCAAATGGGTTTTCTAACTTCCTTAAGTACCTGAATCAAAAATGAATCAATAATTTATTAGAGACAAAACAGCATCTGAAGGAAATATTATTCTTAAGATACTATTAAAAATACTTCTTAAATACTACTATAAATACATACTAATAATACTTTTGAAGCTAAAGGAAACACCCCAGGCATCTACTAAGCAAAACAAACAGCCCTTGCTGATTTGCCCACAACTGTTATTATAAGGAGAGTTACTTAATATGTCATCAATCCAGAGGTATTTATTCATGTACAATGATCTGTTCCTACAGGGGGGAAAAGATAGTGAGTATATCACAACTCTCATGCACCGTACACCTGAAACTAGTATAACTAATGTAATATCATATACCGACTATACTTAAATGAAAAACAAAAACAAAAGCAAAACTCTCCTGCACAACTCTGGGTGTTGGACTTCCCATGATGGCCACCTGGTGGCTCCCTAGTACACCTATAGACCATCTCATTTGTTTTATGGCATCATTCGTGATGCCAAAAATGAATCGGTCCGAAATACAAAACCATGGTTGGGGGGACATTATTCGATGTCATTAGGTGACTAAAACTTCCCTTATCTATAAGCATCAAAATCCAAGTAAAAACTGTAAAGCTAGGGCAAGGCTCAGAATCCCACCTTAAGTTTCACTTGAATATTTACAAATGGATTCATTCTATTGACCAAGTGACAAAGCTTTAAATATGTTTCAGTAATAGCCTGCATTTTGCTTGCTGGGAAAAAGCTTTCTTCTGCTGAAAGGATAACACTTTAACTGATTTAAAAAAAAAATAGGATTTTTGTTTTTCCACCAGGAAGGAGGAACTCACAGATTTCGTACTTTGGGAACTGTGTAAATCTTAAAATAAAACAGAAACTTCATTGTCCATATTCTCTCTTAAGTTCTAGAAAAGTAAAACAAACTAATAACATTTTAAAACCAAAACTGTCCAAATACTTAGACGAGCTTAACCTTTCTTGGTCTAAAGTTCTGCCCTTTGCCTTAAGGATCACGTGATGTACACCACAAAACCTCAAACTCTCACCGTGTGAAATTCATATAGGAAGACCTATGAGTCTCAGATTAACTCCTTCTCCAACAGACTTTACCTTGTTACATTCCAATCCTGTCAGCCATTGTCAAAACTAAAATATACGCGATCACATGCCCAACAGGTGCAAGCTGTACTTAGAAAGAGACAATATCAGACACATTTCTACAGGATGAAAATCCAGGAAACTGGGTAGACTGAGACATTAGCCTTGGGAAGGTCATAGCAAGTATTTTTAACCACAAATATTGCTCTTAAGCTCTCGGGTATATGCTCATGGATTGAGGATTTCCCAGGGTAAATGTGCCAGGGATTCTCCCATGGGTAAGATATATAACCCCGAGGCTCAGTAATAAGCTTTTAGAAGCACACAGCTCTGGAAGTAGACAGCTACTCCAAGATTTTTGGATCAAGAAGATGACATAAGGTATAGACAGTTTTTACCACTATTTCCAGATTAGGATCCGTGATTAGGACTTATATTTTATTACCTGTGTCCTCCTTTTATTACTTCTACACTTTCCTTTGTGTGGGCCAAGGTATTAGATTGTAAAATGACTGCCACAGTCCTTTTTGCCTTTCTGTCGGCTGTCTTCTTTCCTACGAAGTCTTCGATCCCTTAATCCCCCTTTCTCAAACAACTGGAATGGCTGTCAACTCGCCAATCGATGAATTCGCCCTCTGGCTTTAGGCCCCTCTAACAAGATCCACCAACGTATCTGTATGTCTTAACTGAACCTTAGGCCCCCCAGTCATTAGAGGCTATTTCTGAATTCTAAATAAACTCAAAGGAATTCAAGGAATATCATAGATAAAAAAAGAGACATGAGTCTTACTCTCCTGGTTTCTTAGGCCACCTAGGAAACTGGATACAAACTAGTTCCAAGTGTTTTTTGCTTTTTGTTTTTTCATAGTTATTGAGCTCCTCCACTGTCTGATAGCCAGCTGCTCAAATATTACTATAAGTTATTATCTTAAGACACAGTATCAAAAAGACACTAAATCACTGAGGCCAATCACGATCTTGGATCTTCACCTGACCATAAGAGGTGAGGGATTATAATGAAACAGGGCAGACCTAGCTTAACTATGGTAGAGATACCAAAGGAAAGATATCAGCCGCCAGTATCAAAGATGAACATACCACCTACCTACTCCATAGCTGAAGTCACGAGATTTTTTGGAAGACTCATGAATAACTGAAATTGCCTACCCTGACTCCAATGCAGTCTGCTCGGGTGCAAATTGTCTCCTTGATAGTTTTCAGCCGATCAGCAAGCCCAAGGACAAAACAAAACAAAGAGTTCCGCTGACTGAAGGTTTTCCCTCTATAAACTCTGTTTTGTCTATTTGATGACAATAGATATATGACTGATCTCCCTTATACATGAATAAATGTCAGCTGTGCTTTAAGCGAGACTTGACATCTCTGAGACATGGTGATGACAACATCTAAGTTAGGGAAGAAGTTGGTTTGGAAAGGGGTTAAGGTTTGGAATAAACAGAGTTTGTGGTACTTGTAGGACACACAGCAGATAAACAATTAATTAAAAGGAAAGATGGGGGCTGGAGCAGAAATTAGGAGTTATTAACATATAAGTGGTATGGAAGATTCTGTAATAGATTACACCCCAGTGAATAAGGGGAAGAAAGGGACTCACCACCAAATTATCTATGCCACTACGTGAGGGTTGTCCGATAATGAGGATTTATAGAGCTATCAGAGAGGAAGGTGGAAAACCTGTTCCCAGGCACGTCTATGGCACAGGAATGGAGAGTTTCCAGAAGGGACTGAGCCGTGACATGAAATGTAAAGAGGAGTAAAGAAATTTATCTTATCAAAAATACAAAGCACTGCTGATGTGAAGACATCCCAATTTCAGAAAATTATATGCCTTAGATTGATGAAATGTATCAGGATGTGGGCTGAAAAAATGCATTGGGTTTGGAAATTAGGACACCATCGGTTGCCTTAGAGAAATCTTTTTCACTAAATTGGTAGGTACAGTACTGGATGGTTGTGAACTGCAGCAGATGGGAGGTGTTGCAGTAGGAACTGTATGCTAATGACTATCTCAAGAAATTTGTGGTGATGGGAAGATATGATGAAGCTGGAGATAAGGAAGGATTGAAGGAAGGGTAATTTTTATATAAGGAAGAATTGAACTTCTTTGAAAGCTAAGAAGCTGATTAGGAGAGGCAGAGATTAAAGGCCTACACAAGGCAGTGTAGAATAGGTATGTGGAGAGGGACACAGCTATGGAGGCATTCAGGGCTGGATTTATACACTCACTTTTCTACTTACTGCTTATCTGGCATTGGACATCTCAGTTAAACTTTCTGAGCCTTGGTCTCCTTATTTGTAAAAGTACGGTGATCATTTCCCTACCTTATGGAGTGTATGTATCAGGAGAGATTATCCACACAAAGTGCTTGGCCCAGTAGCCAGGACATATTAAATGCTCAATAAATAGGATCTACTATTAAGAGATTAAGGGAGATCATAATTGATTAGCTAAGTCCCGGTGGGAAAGGATAGGATCAAGCTTATAGGTGAACGAACAAGCCCTGGAAAGGAAGAGTGATCTCTCTATAGTGGTTCTAAAAGATGTCCACAAATTCTTTGATACCCTTCCTTCAAAAGTAGAGCCTAATTGCCCTCCTGTTGAGTGTAGGTGGTACTTAGTGACTCGGCTCCAACTAACAGAATGTGGTGAAAGTGACAAGATGCAACTTTGAAAGTAAGTTATAAAATGCATCGTGACTTCTTTCACGCTTGTTCTCTTGGATCCCGTAATCTGGGGGAAGGCAGCTGATAGTTCATAAGAACATGCAAGCAATCCTGTGGAGAGGCCCACGTGGTGAGGGATTCAGGGTCCCTGTCAATAGCCATGTGAGTGATTCATCCTGGAAGCTGGTCCTTTAGCCCCAGTCGAGCTTTCAGATGAGTGCAGCCCCAGCTGACATCTTGACTGCAACCTCATGGAAGACCCTCTCAGATGAACTGCTTCCAAATCCCCGACTCGTGGAAGCCGTGAGATAATAAACGTTTTTTCTCTTAAGTGCCTCATTTCGGGGTAATTTGTTACACAGTTATAGAAAACTAATACCAACTCTTTCTCTACATCAGAAGGAAACTGGAGGACAGGGAAAGACAATATGTTTGGAAAGGAGAGAAGGTATATGCCCGAGGTACCTTAATCTGTAAAACTAAAATACGAAGGATGTTATCTGCTGACCACGAGGTGACTTAATGAGACTGGCGAGGGAATGGAAGAGCCATGCAGAAAATAGGAAAGGGCACTGACTAGGAACACGAGAAAGATTGATGTTTTTCTTTTTTGTCTATCTTCCTTTATGTCAAACCCAACCACCGAAATCACACTTGCTGTTAAAACTAGATCAGATTTCACGTAATGAACCTTCATCTCAAGAAAGAAGTTCAGAGGCATTGCAACCTGTCTGAGCCAGCCTGAGACTGTCCATATCAGCAAACTGCTGATGAGTAAGCTCAGGGCTTAGGATGACTCAGACACATCTTGGGAAAGTACTTCCTGCTGTCAAAAATGATTTCCAACAGCTATGTAGAGTCTAGCACATTATTTATGAAGGGGGATACAATATCAGGACAGTATAAGAGAAAAACCAACAAGCTTTATATACTCTGCAACGAGCACATTGCAGTAAGCGGAGAACCCACAATCTTTTTTCTTTTTTTTTAATAGAGACATTGGTTAACAAAATCCAATAAGTTTAAAGTGTACAATTCAACAGTAAGGCATACATATTACATTGTGTGTTCACCATCCATAGTTAGATTTCTTCCTGTCACCACACATTTGACCCCTTTTACCCCATCTACCTCTCCCCTCCCCCCTCTC